GTCAATAGAAAACGGGGTGTTTCACATAGAGAGAGCTCTATATTGCGTAGGTCAAACCTTTAGATCTTTAGTCACACAGAAATTCCTATAAAAAAAGTCCCGTGCACTGGTATGCATGATATGATTACCATTCTCATCTATTAGGCTGCTGTCCAAAAAATAATATGAATCATTGCAAATAAATGTACGAGTATTAATCTTTATTCGACCAAACCGACATTGTGGTTTCGTTCCTTTATCGAAGTTTGATATTCAATTGGCCAAAGGTTCGCAACCAAAGCAGCCACGTATGTATATGTACATGACTGCAAAATATTTAGTTTCTACATTTGCCTATCACAAACGTACTATACGTCCACACATTTATTTGGTTAAATATTACTCAGCAACAGCCATAGAGCCTGGCACCGGCTTAGATGCCTTAGAAATCGATTAGACTGATTAGATATCTTCCGCAATAAATTAAATACTAAGCGAGCAAAGATTTTCTAGATATCCTCGAGCGTAGGACAGTCGTCTGCATGCCGCCAAGGGGTCTCTATGGTGTATGCGAATATCTAGGGGACCATAAAGTTTTTATCTGGAACTTTCCGCCAAAGGTGAACTGCAATTAAGTGGGGAGTGCTTTGTGTGTCATGGGTTTGGCCGTCTTTGAAGGCTCCTTAAAAATTCCAGAAGTTCCAAAACCAGTTAATTGCTTAACAATCACAGCACAATTAATCTATATCTAATCGAATTATAAGTTCTAGGAACGGACAAAAACCCAATAATAAACCACTCGAGTTAGTATCCTGAGGAAGTGAATGGCCCAAAGAATCGTAAAAGTTTACCAGTCATATACATTGGCTATCTGGATTTGTATGACCGCCTTATCAACAGGAAGGTGGCCCACACATAATGATGGGCAGATGCGGGGCAGTTCCGTCCGTCCACAACCTAGAACAATACAATGCCTGAATGCTGTTCCCCTCTTTACTGCTCTGTGCTGCTCTGCCCAGCTCCGCTTTTGGGGTTTGCTGCCTCTGCTGAGCTGCTATCGCTTATCAGTGAGGGCGGCGGCTCGAACTGTGAATGATAAAAAAGCCATGTTAACATTATATTTAATTGGTAGTTCCCATTCAGGCGTCGTGCGGTACTGTTCTCGTTTCTCGACTGCTCTTTGCCTCCATCCAAGGATCATTCACACACTCACAGGATCCTTCGGTTAATAGAATAATAGAAAAATACTCGCAAAATGCGTTCGCTCACTGTTACCTTCCTACTACTGGCGTTCTGCGCCTCATCCACTCTTTGGAAAGGTGCGCCTTACTTATTAACAAACTTCTAAGTATCCAGTGCACAGTGCAAAAATAATAGAATAATTTAGACTTGAAATTTAATGATTGATTTATCGCGTGTCAATGTCAGGAATGGAAATTACTTCATATTCTATGGACTGTTTTAGTTTTGTGACAGAGAGAACATGGGCTCGGTCTCCTTATCAGCCATGTTTGCACCGACTTCCAGTGAAGAATATGCCATGGCCAGTGCCATTATTGTAATTAGTTTTGTGCCACCAATAGCTTCTAACCTCAATGAAAAAATTGCGAAGGCATAAACAATATTGGAAAATATATTTTATACTGACTCATAAAAAGCTCTCCTGCACCTCAAAAAATTGTTCGAATGATTATTTCATCAGAACAGCATTATCAAACTTCAAATAATATCTTTTAATTGAGTATCCAGATATATTCAGTGATATTTTATGAGTTCCCACACGAGCAACGTATATATCGTACTTTATCGATATGGAATAGCTTAATATACCAACTACAAAGGCTGCTGTCCGATAAGGGGTCATAAAATTATGTAGAGATATTTATGCTGTTTCCAAAAACGTGTCCAATAGGTTCTCATATAAGGGAAGTGATGGGAAGATCGCTGCTATCGATCGTTTTTGATAAAACGTTCCCTGCTTTTTGGTGACGTCGTGACTATTCACGACAGCAGTACAATCTATATCTTTTTTGGCCCTTAAGCACTCTGTATACCCTGATTTACATTTTATTTACCCTGCAGCAAATGCCCTGAAATGTTACGAGTGCATCGGCAGCCAGTGCGACGATCTGAAGCAGGTGAAGGTGGTTAGCTGTAGTGCGGATGATGCGCCAACCGATACGACAACAGAGGTAAGACACCATTCTGCCAGAGAAAATTATTTTAATAATAATCAAACTGTTCTTACTCTTTCTAGGATGAACCTTCAACCGATCCTACAACGGCAGCTCCGATAGCTTCTACTCCTGATGGATCTACAGCTTCTACACCTGATGGATCGGACGGGTCTACAGCTGGTGGATCGACCGATTCTAACACGGACTCTTCCACCAATCCTGTGACTGATTCTACATCGAATGAAACTACCGATTCTTCAACTAATGAAACTACCGATTCTTCAACTAATGAAACTACCGATTCTTCAACTAATGAAACTACCGATTCTTCAACTAATGAATCTACCGATTCTTCAACTAATGAATCTACCGATTCTTCAACTAATGAAACAACCGATTCTTCTACTAATGAAACTACCGATTCTTCAACTAATGAATCTACCGATTCTTCAACTAATGAATCTACCGATTCTTCTACTAATGAAACTACCGATTTTTCAACTAATGAATCTACCGATTCATCAACCAATACTGCAACTGATTCTTCTACCAATTCTGAAACTGAATCAACCAATTCAGAATCTACCGATTCATCATCAGATTCTCCAACTGATTCTTCAAGCGATTCCACAAGCGATTCCACAAGCGATTCCACAAGCGATTCCTTAACCGGTTCCACAACCGGTTCCACAACCGGTTCCACAACCGATTCGTCAACCGATTCGTCAACCGGTTCCTCAACCGATTCTTCAACAGATTCCTCAACCGATTCCTCAAACGATTCTTCAACGGATTCCTCAAACGATTCTTCAACGGATTCCTCAACCGATTCTTCAACAGATTCCTCAACCGATTTCTCAACTGATTCCACTACCGATTCCGCAAGTCGTAGCAAAACGTTGGCTGCTATGGCCACAGATGTTTTGCTCCAGAACTATCGCACCATTTCCCGTGCTCGAAGGGACACGGATGGTACTATTAAGTTGACTGCCTGCTACAGTATTATGATGGGTGAAGGTATGTAAAAACCACAGAACCACACGTAATTTTGAACTGAACCACATGTCCCTTTTTCATTCCTACAGTGAAACATCTCGGCTGTGTTCGGGTATCGAATGGTCAGAGTGGATGTGAGGCGGTAGGAAAAGAAGTCGGTCTTCCGAGTAATTCTACTCACGATGAATGCGAGCTCTGCTTTGAAGATCGATGCAACGGCAGCACCAGTCAACGCGCCTCTCTGGGCATGTTGCTCTTACTCCTGGTGGTGGGTGCGAAGAACTTCTTCTAGAAACAGTTCCTGAGGGGTGATGGTGTGAACTTCCATAAGTTGTATTATATATTGATTATTAAATACTATTAAATACAAAATTTAAAACCATTGACTGGAATTATTCTTAATAAAAGCAGTCCCACAAAAACTCTGCAAGTATTTCCTTTTTATAATACTACTTTCCCAATAGCCACTCAACTATCAATAGCCAATCAACATCAGTTTTTTCGACTGCCATTCAATAAAAAATATAACAGAAAAGTGAACTTTTTGATCTCTCCGAATGCACGATTCCTCACAATTCACACGATTCGCAAAAAGAATCATCGACAAATGTTTTATTTAGGAAAGACGTTGAAACTTCGCTAGTTTCGTGGAACCTTATCTAATCAAAATGATCGTTTACGGATCATAAATAAAGAAAAGAAACAATAAGATATTATTATTTTTTATTATCAAAATTTCTTCGTCCTTATCTATATCTTAGTTATTGTCCATTGTCTAAGATTGTTCTGATTCTGATTAATTGTCTGGTGCGGATGGTCGAGGGTAGAGATCACTCAGCTGGGCTAACACCTAACTCAATAAATGCAAGACTAATATATATAACACTTTCATATTTTCAGAGAATTTTAATCAATTTACCAAAAATTGCACTAAGTCCCTCATGTTTCTCTGGAAGTTGATATTGTCAGCACTGATTATACAAAGGATCAGCGTTACGTTCGATTCTCGTCGTCCCTAAATCCTACTACCCAACCTAGCCTTAATGTACTTTGTGAGCGGTTTTTTCTGGAAAAATTCCAGCCTTCGTAAATTAATAAAAATGCTGATTAATGTGCAACCATTAAAAACGTAAACGGACGTTTTTTACTGACTCTGAACCCCCTGCGATCACGACCGCGACAATCCACCCGAGTATGGATTCATCCGAAGCCTACATATTACATACACACTAGTATATCATTATATAGATAATATTTATATTCAATTATATCAAAATGAATATACGTATTATATTCTCCAAATTATAATAATTTGAAATGTACCTATCATTAATAACTGCAAAGCTCATAGTATCTATAGAAGTAGATACACTAGAGAGTACACAAACCAAAAAAGCTTCTTCTACTCTAGGATTTAAGCTTTTAAAGCGCCTATTGAAGGGTTAAATAGAGTTGGCACAAAACATAATTAAAATACAAATTAGTTTCAACTATTTCGATAAAAATCCAAGATTAGCTACAGCCCAATTCTTTCATTCTATATTGTGAGCTTATTGGCTGACAATGGGTTAATGTCAATGGTTTTTCAATGGTCTGTGAAAGCTTCCGACTCTAACCGCAACTGTGAATAAAATTCAAAGCTGCTACTTATCATATACCATTCTATATGTACACACAGATATGTATATATATTCGTAAATTATCGCAAAAGTGTATTGAAGTTATCAGTAGAAAAGAAAACAGAAATGCTTGTGAAATACATACATAAAAAGAGATAAGCATGTGTGTTAAAGTGAAATTGATTAGGGGCATTTGTGATACCGAACCCTTTGGCCGACAGTTAACCAAAATTGGTCGAGGCAAGCACAACACCCGATCGGATCGCTATACCAAAACTAAAAGAAAAAGAATAACCATGGGTAGTCATACACTTTTCACCGCTCTGATAGTGGCCGCCCTCGGTCTCAGCCAGCTGGACAGCTGTCTGGCCATACGTAAGTTGGCCCAAACGAAACGTGGGTTCGAACTTAACACTAAATTATTTTCTTTCTAACCACTGCAGAGTGCTATAACTGCACATCAACTGACAATGGTGAAAATTGCCTCAAAAATCCCGCAAGTTTTTCTACCGTGGACTGCACAACTGATTGTTTTACTTCTGCAGGTTAGTACCCCACCTATGACTCATGACAGATTATAAGACTCGCAACACATACTCGTTCAATGTGCAGGAAAGTGTTTGTACGTACAATGGCGAAATAGAAATATGTTACTGTTTAAACAGCTTAATCTGATCCATTAAAATGGAGTTTTGTTGAAACAGTTATAGCCAACAAAGACCAACATATCGTATCAGGAATGAAAGATAGCATCTTTGAATATTTGAATTTGAAATAATATTAAGCAGAGCTAACCAATTTTTTGGCGAATATGGTTAGGTAATTCTCAGACTCCTGTTAGGCGCTCTTTTTACTCATATTCTGCTGACTGTGAAACCAATAATTTCGAAACAAAGGGATATTTTAATCAACAGTATGCTATCGGCTAGTGGTATCAATGATAGCCGCCATAAACGATTTACTAACTCTTTGGGGTGGTTGAGATTATTAAACTGATATTCGCTTTTCGAGAGTTCACACTTCACTTTTTCACGGGCATGTACTTCCAGAGCCTGGAAACATAACTCGCGGCTGCCTTTCCGGTGACGCCAACTGCAGTGGTTTCAATTGCAATAGTTGCAACAGCGACAAGTGCAACACGAACCTCGTTTGCCAGCAATGCCTGGGCCTGGCCGAGTGCGGTTCATCGAATGTGACAGACTCCAAATACAATGTGGTCTGCGGATCGACGGATCAGTTCTGTGTCAATCAGGTGAACGAAAACCAGACGGTGACGCGCCAGTGCGGCTCTGCCTGTGCCACCGATGCCAAGCCGGACACCTGTTCATCCTGCAATACGGCCCTCTGCAACGAGGGCATGTACCCAACGACACGCCTCCAGTGCTACAGCTGCACAGGCGAGACCTGTAACACACCTGCCATCACCTCGCTGACTGCCTGTGAACTTGTCAGCGCTCAGTGCTACATGACCGGAACGAGCGCCACTGCCATGCAACGTGGCTGCACCTCGGATGCAGGGGCCAAGTGCCAGGTGGGCAGCACGGATACGAGCTGCGTCATTTGCAACACGACGAGCTGCAACAATCTGGCCTACGAACGGGATGCCGGTACCTGCATCGAGTGCACCAATTGTGCCGCGGAACAGAATACTACCATTGCCAAATCCTGTGGCAAACTCACCTACAACCAGGAGGATCTCGGCTGCTACACCTTAAACAATGGCACTGTGACGCGTGGTTGTCTCACCGCCGAGCAGGGAGCCTGCACCACGGAGAACAGCTGCAAAAAATGTTCGGAGGCGAACTGCAATGTGGCTGCCGAGGCCGTTGAGTTCCAGTGTGCGATGTGCAACACTCTCACCGATGCCAAGTGCCAGGCCGGCGTTGATGCTCCTTTAACAGCTTGCACCTCCAACAATTGCTTCTACGGATATTGGAGTAAGTTTTATTTGTTGGTCATATGTTCGTTATCTAACCTTTCGTTTACCAGATGGAGCCGGTATACGCGGCTGCTTCGATCAGGCCAGCGAACTGATGCAGTACCAATGTGTTAACGAGAAGAGCCACGAATGCGTGCAGTGCACGACGTCCCTTTGCAATAAGGTGCCCTTCTCCGGAGCAGACACCCTCAAAAAGCTGAGTGTGGGTCTCCTTGTGGGGCTCGTTCTGGCCCTTCGATACACCCTGTAAGCCCCATGACAAAACCGAAAACCATTGGCATTGTTTTTATTTTCGTTTTCCACATGGTATCTATAGAAACTAATCACGGCGCTTGGCCTATGAGTAAGGCGTACCCCCAAAGGAAAACGTAAAATAATTATGATAATAGTTAGGAATATTTGTCTTATCACAAATAAAAGTCTTGTACATAATGTATACCAAATTATTTGAAATGTTTTCTGTATTATAGTCGTACATTGAAGATTTCTTGCAGAAATTGTACATCGTACATCTTATCTGTCTGTCTGTGGAAATAATAAATATTTAGATAAAATAAAAACATGCCTTATCAATTGATCAGGAAATCGCTTTGTTCTGCATTCTATGAACTCGAACATGCAGGCCAATAAATCTTTTTAGTTTTCAATGGAAAATAAACCGTTCCCGATTCGGAATATTTTGAAGAACTGCACAACCATGAGAGTAACTGCGATTTTCAATGCAATATATAGTTTAAATATAGTTTAAGTCTCTTTCGTAATTTTTCCGTAGTCCACGATAAGATTATCGAATGAACACCTTATCGTAGGTTGGATATTTATACATATATTGTATGATTTTCTATATGTATGTAGACTTAATTTGATTTACAAGAAAAATTTTTACCTCCGGTCGTTTAAATATACATTTTATTAAAACTTGGATCAATAATCGCGAGTAAATTTTTATATCAAGCATTTTTGATTATAATTTTTAATATGTATTAGATTCAAGAACAATAAATATACTGATATACTATCAGGAGAATGAAAATGCGATAATTGAAACTCTGCTCACAAATACACTTGTAACTTCCATGACTCAGAGTGTTCCTAAGCATTCACCAAAAAACTGATTAAACAAATGGCCAAAATGATTAGGGCCCTGCCCATCAATGGGGGGGCAGAGTTCGAATAACCACCTGGCTTAGATGAAGGTTTTGTAGGCACGTATATGGAATTACAGTCCGTTTGGGAGCACGTTGAGCAAAAGATGTTTCCGTGGCAGTATTCCGCGGAATTACCCACCAACTCGAATTCACAGCCTCGGCTGGTAATATTTTCGGCCCCTAAGAGATGAGGTCATATCATTGGCTATGTTGTCCACCCTGAAAGCATCCTACTTACTCATGTAAACGATAATGCAGGAATTCTCCCTGCCGTCTCTCGGAAAGCATTTTGTTCGTTTTGTAAGCTTTACGGAACAGTTTTCATCAACTTTGGGGTCACAAACGAAGCAAGTTATAGGCAATGTATTGGGTACTGGTTGGTTTTGTGGGGTCAGGATAAGTTTCAATATCCCTTAAATGTCCCACTGAGATCCCTTCGCTTGGCCTGTGCAATAGCCCCATCAACGTAATCCAGATAAACAAATTATTCAGCCACATTCTGGTCAGTGATATCCTTTAATCGTAGCGCGGTTTGATACTGCTTTTGTTTCCTATCTGTTGATGTTTGAACCGCGACTGAAACAAAACTCATTGAAATTTTCTGGTCTTATCCCCCGATTGAAAAGCAACTATACGAACTCCTAATAAAATCGATATGGGGTACAACAGCTAAGGAGCCAAGCTTATGAGTCCCTCTGGACATTGATCAATTAAAAAAAAAAAAAAGTCGGAATGAAAATTTGTATTATGGCCACTACTATACGATACCCAGGACACGGGGTGATGGGTTTTAGGAACTCGTTCTTTCATTTTTTAGCAGGAATTGATCTGAGATTATCCAATATTAATGATTTCTGGCACATCACTCGATTTATTTATATACATATAACTAAGGAGACTAATGTAAAACCAACTTTAAAAGATATCTGGCTACATTTAGGAACAGAGCTCTTAGGAAAAGATCACCATGTTATGGAGCCGTAAGTTTAACGAAGAATCGATCGGAAAGTATTTGTGAAATCATGATATTTCAATCAATCTTCAGAGCAGTAGTTAATTTGTTTTATTATTTATAAAATTTAAGAATCTACAAGGACTTATGAGTACAAGATAGACTTTATTTAAACTCTCCGAATCGTTTTTTCATTCATGTTTCTCATTTTGCTGCATTATGTACATTTATTAATCATTTACATAAAAATTTTTGAAATAAACTGTTTCTAAAAGTATACCCGATAAAGCTTGAAATGAATCAAATACTCCACCAAGCTTTTCACGAACAAAATTGATTTAAATGTGCATGGCGTGTCTCTCCTCCCTTATCATATTTATCGATTTGAATAGAATTTTAAAACGGTCATGACTCAGAGTCGAGGGGTTCCTACATCGTCACCAGACACCTGAGTATACAAAATCCCCAGATAAGGGCACTGCCCAGCAGAGGAGCAGCTGCCGCATTCGACAGCGTCACCTCCTTGGCATTACAGTCGTTCTCGTAGCACATTTCACAGCCTTTCGCATTCGATTTGCAGTAGTTGTGGCCACTCTCCGCCAGTTCGGAGATGCAGCCTCGCAGCACAAGCTTTTCCTCATCTAAAGCAGTGGAAGATATTAGTGGACACGTCGATCACACTCCCAGGCGGTACTTACTCTTGACGAAAGTTAGGCACCCATTACGTTTTCCCGGAGTCGAAGCGCACTTTGTTCGATTCTTGGGCTTCTCCTTGCAGTTGCTGCAGCTGAAGCAACTTATTGATGGAAATAGTGGTACGGGTAGAGCTGAGGTTGGGGGGGGTGTGGTGGTCGCAGGTGTAGGTTGGGTGGTTGCCGGAGCGGGCTCTGTTGGTTCCTCATGCGGTGCATCGTCTTGGTAATCCTCAGCAGGAGGGTGCGGAAGTGCTTCCGTTTCTGTTGCTGGCTTATCCTTATCGGTATTTTCAGTTGATTCGGTTGCTTCGGTTGATGTTCCTGTGTGCTCTGATTCTACGGGTTTTGGATGGGCAGGAATTTCTGGTTCTCCCATTGGCGGTTCTGTTTGTTCCCCTGCAAAAGGAATATCCAATGTTCCCTTTGAAGGTTCATCCGGATCTTTTTCTTCCTCTTTAGTAGGAATATCCTCTGTATCCATTGGAGGTTTCTCAGCTGGTGGCTCTTCCTTATCCGCTTCTGATTGGCGACCCAGATCTAACTGTTCGCCTGATGATGGCATATCTGCAGAGCCCATGGACGATTCCGGCTGTTTATCCGCTTCTGATTGTGGACCCAGATCTAAATGTTCCCCCGATGAAGGCATGTCGGCTGTACCCATTGAAGATTCCTTTGGCTTGTCATCTCCGCTTTCGATTGCTGTTGAGTTTTTATCATTCTGTCCCTGCATTTCAGATGACTTCAGTTCTTTTGGTTCCGACAACGTAGTCCCTGCCTCCATTTCAGGCGTCTGTTCTGTGGCTGCGTTCACGCTAAGTTCATGGATATTATCCTCCTGAGCCTCGGTCCAATGCAAGAGGACCGTCAGTGCGATCCAGAGGAGAACTTGCTTCGTCTGCATGGTGGCTAGTGATCGGTTGTAGCTTCACGGATCGTCTGATTCTGAGGGGGTATTACAGTTTCCGCGAAATACAGCTCCCACTTGACCTCACGGGAGGGAGCTTTATCTGGATGTTTATGCACGAGTATCTTCAGCGATATCGTTTTATCCACCAGCTCTGGAGAGCTCTGCAAACACTGGCAATGCAATCGGTAAAGTAAAGCCAACAAAGTGCTGCCCTAGATGAGTTCGTTGTCGTTCCTGTCCAGTTGCTGTTTTTCTGTCTACTGAGAGAGGTTTCCACTAAATTGCCTTGTCATACTGGTCATACATATACTAGAATCCCTTGATTGTCACGCAATTATCCGAGCTCTAAATTAAATCGATATTGGACGGGGGCGGGGGTGCCAAGCGGGTGCCCGCTTATGAGCCGCTCTCGACATCCTTGCAATGAATGCGGAACGGGACCCGTACCCCACCGTACCCACCGACTGAATTATTGATGATGTGAACCTTTCGATGGCCAGATGGGTTACACCGATAATGGGGTCAAGGCATATGTGTGTCACATTATGGAACATGTCATTATGCATATGGCAGACAAATGTGCTTTGTTCTGTCCTATTCTTTTGGTAGTTGGGGATTCACTAAAAATCTCTCTACGAGTATTGCCCATGGCTTATCCTTCTCACTTTAACTAATAGTACTATCATTTCATTATTCTGCAAATTGATAAGTCGTAAAATATTCGTAGATTATAAATTTTAATGTGCAAACAAAGCCCATGCATTACCATGCAGGTCCGTTTCTAGAATGGTTCGTCTGAATAAACCACCTCTCCTCCTGCTGCTGCTGCTGCTGCTGCATTGTACGTCCGTTCCCAGGCCTTAATTGGTTTCCAATAATACGATGACATTTCGGTTCTAACAATAGGCTCGCTGCATTCTGTTCGGGCCATTGTCTGCTACCATTGCGACTCGATTGCCCTGCCCGAGTGCGCCCAGACCCTGGGTGAGGTCGGGGTCTTGCCCTACGAGGACTGCACCAACCAGCTGTCGTGTGCCGTGTCCATTGGTGAGTCCACTGCCTCCCAGGCATTGACCTTCAACTCTTCAACCGCCTCTTGCAATCAATTCAATCACCAACAGTGGGTTTGGTGCTTTCGCGCTCTCTCTGTCTCTCTCTCGCCCAAATACTCGTTATATCACCCATAATATCTCAACAATAATTATTAATATAACACAAATCAGTACCCATCAGTACTGTCTGTAGTTCTACGAAGATACATTTCTAATTGATTTGTAAATTATGGACAAAACAGATAGCCAGCTAATAGTATACATAGACACAGGAGTTTAGCAAGGATTTGTGTAACCAAGAGATTCATTAAAGAGTTTTATATATGTATGTGTTTTGCGTGTCTCAAGTGTTAAGTAATATATTATTAAATGGTAAATAAATTTTACAAAATTTCTGTTTCTTCCATATAGTCTGATTGGGAATCCCAATCTCTTTCATACGATCTCTACGATGAATAGTTAATTAGTTCTCGAATTATAGAGAACACCATACAAATATTACGAAAAAAAGGTTTCTTAAATACTAATTCATGTCGATCTTTCTGTAGTCTTCCGGTCGCTCCACCCCATCCTCGGATTCTGACTCGGACTCGGTTGGCTCGCTGCTTTCCTCTTTAGCTCTGCTTTTTTGAACCATCCCCCATCCATGATCACGCATCAACTGTCCGAGGTTGGTTCGCTGTCGCTGATGCCATTTCTCCTCGACATTCATCTTGTCGTAGTTCAGTTGAAAGAACTTTGAGAGGACAAATGGGGTGGGGTAGTAGCCTGGGTTCATCTTTTGAAGCTCAATGTAAACAGTGCGCCCTTTCAGGGCATGTTGTACGCCCTTGAATATCATGCCTGTGTTTACAAAGAACTCGCAGCTTCCTGATCCGGATTCGCCTATAGGAGTGGCCTGGAAGAAAACACCAGTGCTTTCTAGCAGTCGTGTCCGGTAGGACATTTTCTCATCTACCAGGACCACCTGTAGATGGAGGGCGCCGAGGGTCTGGTAGTATTTAACATCGGGACGCGTTGCGCGCCGCAAAAGACGAGCAGCATTACTGGCTGTAACGCCAGCCCTGGCAGAAAGTGTCTCTAACTTAAATTTTTGGTTTTTTTCTTGTTTCGGCTTCTCCTCCTTGGGCTCGGCAGCGATAACGCACGGCGCCGCCTTGCTCGTGACTGCTTCCATTTCCTCGAGTCGGTCTAGCGCGGCGCATCTTCTTAAGTAGTCATAGAAATCGGCTATTGGTACCTTCTTAATATCCGAAGCTTCGGATTCTCCAGGCTGGTCCTGGCCAACAGGCATGACAGGGCTCTGCTTAGGTTCCAACTCGGAATCGGTTTCTTCCTCGGAATCTGTTTCTTCCTGGCTACGCTCCTGGCGTACACGGTTCTCCCGGCCCGTCTTAAGCTCATGGTCCACTATATCCGACATCTTGGAAGTGTCCTGCTTTGAGGGTGGGCTCTTGTCCATGTCCTCGCCGATGTGCTCTTTGTTCCCATTTGCCACCACACGTGCTCCTTCACATGAGTTCGGTTCCTTTTCCAGTTCAGGTGGATCTTGTGGGATCGGCGGGGCGTCCAGCTTGATGTGCTCCTCGAAGAATTTCAAAATCTTCTCTTTGGTCCGATCACATCGCTTGCTCATCTTTGCCTCGACCTGTGCTCTTTGCAGGTTCAAGTGGAGATTAAAAACCTTCAGCGTCTTAAGGTAGATCCTGGAAACCATGCATGTGGCGAAGATCGTGTGCGAAGTGGAAAATGCCACTTTGGCCTGGACGAAGTGGTCAACGGGCGCCGTGTTCAGCCAGTCTTGAACCGTCTGAGCATCTCTGTCAGCCCAATGGCGCTCACCCATGTGGTTAACCATTCCCAGGAGGCGCAGGTCCATGCACAATGGCGGCGCACTAACGTACTCATCGGGGCAGACATGGAGCGACATGCAGTTGGTCTCGAAACGGCGAGTGCTATAGTCCATAGCCTGGACCAGCACCATGAGGTTCGACTGGACCAGATTCACATTCTCAATGAGCGGCACGCTGAGCACCCGGACACGCTCATAGGTATAGCCAGACCCTTTCGAAGTCTTCCACAGACACACGGCTTGGTGTAGCGGTGGCCAGTAGCGTGGTGGTGGCTCCACCCTCTCCTCGGTGAGCCTCAAGTTCATCAGGACCGGAAAATTCCTGGCGGGGTGTAAGTCGCGCCATTTACCCCCCGGGGGAATGTGCTCGTAGACGATCACACAGTAGTGTCCGGGGGAGTAGACGCGCAGCACGTGGACCTTGATGTCCCCCGAACAGGGTACCGCAGATGAACGGCGATCTGCTTCGTGTAGATAATGACGATCACGGCACATAGTATCCCAGCAATCACCGTGACCCAAGATCTCTCTGCAAATCGGCTTCACAATGTTTTTCATTGCGTTCATCTCCTTGCGGATGCGAACAGCCATCGCCACAATATTGGGGTCCACCTTCTGGCGGAGCTGCATAAAATCGACTAGTTTGGGCAGCTCTCTGGCGTTCCCTTCATCCAAGAGGACAAGCGAATCCAGGATCCTTCCATCGGTTGCGGTTGCTGGTGGGTACGATGCCTTGGGATGCGTCAGTACATTGGGCACGTTGTCGGACATGAACAAGTAGCGATTCTTGAATTTGCCCCATGAGCTACTCATGTTGAAGTGGATTATGGTGTGCGCATTACGTATTCTCAGCTCGGGACAGTAGTCGGTGCAGACAAAGATCAAGCCACGGGTGTCACACGTCCAGCTGCTTACCTTATCGAGATACGGCAGATCCACGGTCTGGTAGTAGGCCAGACAGTCGTACTCGAAATACTCTAAGGATCCGACCAGGAGGGCCATCTCCTTATCACCAGCGCAGAAGATGATGGTGCGATATTCCGCCGGCGGTCGCTGACGAAGCAGTTTCACCACCGCAGTGACCTTGTCCACCGCCGCGACCATATTGACTAACAATCGCATCCCGCCATAAAGAGCAGCTTCCAGAATATCGCCAAAGATCAGGCAGGGATGTTGATTGAACCGGCGCACCTGGGCCAACAGGGCTGGAGTGTAATGTTGGGAAACCATCACCACCTGCGGACGGGGATGATGATGGGTGCCATTGCTATTGGTCATGCTTGGAATGTACTGCTTGGCCAACTCCAGTTCCTCTTTCTGCATTAAGTCCACATCATCGAAGACCACTAGCTGTAGCTGATTAAGCTTTAGCAGGCCCGCTCCTTGCTTGCGCGCGTTGGCAAATCGGGCGGGGGTGGCCACCAACACGCCTATTTCGTTGAGCCACGCACCCATGAAGTCGGGAGTGCACTCCATGGGAACGGTCAACACTCTCGTCACAATGATCCCCACTTCATCCACGGTCTCTTTCTTTGGCATTAGCGCACTGCATAAGGCGGCCACCTGCGCCAGTCGGTTTAAGTCTGGCACTAGAATCAGGGCAATGGGTCCCATTCCCTGCGATATATCCAGAAAATCAACCGCCACTTCTCTCCCGCGCCGATTCGCGGCCAGGATCGTGTTGACAACGTGGCAAACGGGCGGCACATATCCCATCGTGCGGCCGCTGCGTGGGGCACCTACGATGAGGACGCCGTGACCTGGCCCATTGAGAAGATGCGGCCAGGCATAGCTCTGCAGCCGCTGCAGACGGTTCAAGCCTAGTTTTCGCATCCTTTCCAAAATTTCCGGCATAAGTGAAACTTCTGCGAATGTGCGAAACGGCGTCACTTTCACGGTTGCATGGGCCACAACATAATCAGAGCAGTTCGGTCCTACAAGCGGTTGGATAATATCCCCTTGGTTTAATAATTTTGACATTTCGTTGGACTTATCTGATCGCTTTCAGGATGCCTCTGAATTTATTAGATTTCTTTTGGTTCTTCGAATTAATTTTTGCAAAAATGGCAGCCGGAAATAATGAACAGCTGGCAGCGCTGCAAGCGATTCTTGCATATCGATATGTTTATCGGTCTCTGTCAATCGATCTGATTATTGTAGTTGAAAAATAAATTGTTTAATTTAATTACAGAATCCAGAGAAGAGACAATGTACAAGTAATTGGTTTGTTTGTAATTCTTTAAAAGTTTAAAATTAAACAATAAAATAAATTGGAGAATAAGTCGAACTGGCATCTCGACCAACTGCAATCGCTTATCGATTATGGCGTTGAATTATCTAATTCCCGAATTTTGAAGTTTGAATATCTCCCACCTGAATATTAGTGCTCATCTCATATCTGCGAGGCCGCAATCAGAACTGCTCTACTGATCTGATAATAGTTGAATTATTGATGATGTGAACTTTGCGATAGCCATCTGGGTTACACCGATAATGGGGTCACGGAATTATGGAATATTTCAGTATGCATATGGCAGAACAATCTGCTTGTTCTGTCCCATTCTTTTGGCACTTTGACTGTTGTTTGTCTGAAAAGCTCTCTACCAGTATTGCCCATGGCTACTTCTATGGCTTATCCTTATCATTTTAACTTATGGTACAATCATTTCATTACTCTACAAATTGATAAGTCATAAAATACTCACAGATTATATTTTCAATGTGCAAACAAAGCCAATGCATTCCTTGTCCGTTTCTAGAATGGTTCGACTGAATAAACCACCTCTCCTCCTGCTGCTGCTGCTGCTGTCTTGTAAGTCCGTTCACAGGCTTTAATTGGTTTCCAATAATACGATGACATGTCGGTTCTAAAAATAGGCTCGCTGCACTCTGTTCGGGCCATTGTCTGCTACCATTGCGACTCGATTGCCCTGCCCGAGTGCGCCCAGACCCTGGGTGAGGTCGGGGTCTTGCCCTACCAGGACTGCACCAACCAGCTGTCCTGTGCTATGTCCATTGGTGAGTCCACCGCCTGCCAGACATTGACCTTCAACTGATTTGGCCGCCTCTTGCAGTCGATTCCATCACGTACCGTGGGTGTGGAGCAGATACCCCCACTACTGGTGCAACATATTCTAAGAGCTGCTCTTTGAACCTTTGCAATGCTGGGGTCTATCCTCCTGGGCGTCTCAAATGTCATCATTGTGCGGGGCCGGATTGCGTGGTGGCACCTGGGGCCAAACCAAAGCCATGCCGCTACCATCACGAGGAGGATCAATGCTACACCGAGGTACTAAATGCCACCGAGGCCTATCGCGGCTGTGTCTCGGAGGGAAACCACACCGTCTCGAGTGCCGCAAAGCTGTGCGAGTACAACGGCTGCAATGATGAGCAGGGAGCCTGGACACAGACCTGTGTCACCTGTGATTCCAGCAGTGGACGTGGCTGCAAGATGGATCTCTTTCAGGTGAACAGCGCCAATTGCAATGTGAGTCTGTACGAGGATTGCCAGCAGGATGTGCTGCTGGGTGAGCAGGACGACAAGTTCTGCTTCAGCTATCGAAAGTTGAGTCGCGTAGTGAGAGGCTGTTCCACCACACTGCCAGCGGATTTGGAGCCACTCCTAGAGGAGCTGGACAAGTGCCAAACGGGTGACAAGTGCAATGCCCGGTGTATTCCCCAGCAGCGTTGCTTGACCTGCAACTCCGTGGATCAGCCACTATGCCGGAGCAATGTCACTGCGGTAACCAACAGCACGTGTGGCTCTGCCGAGGCCTCCTCCTGCTTCGCCTGCGAGTACTCCGACTGGAATATACGCAGAGGATGCGGTGCCCCACCCACCGAAGCGGGAATCCTCAATTGCTATGAATGCGACACAGAGTCAGGCTGCAACAGTCGCGACTTTACACGATGCTATCGCTGCAGCTCGGATCAGGCGGGGGCGGCCTGTGCCAACTGGGAGCAACCCGGTGGCATATACATAGAGGAATGTGCCCAACCGGGCGCACAGTGTCTCATCCTAACCCATAGCAATGGAACCACCGAAAGGGGATGTCAGCGAGAGGATTTCAGCTGCACTTCTTCGAACCTCTCCGCCTGCAAGAGCTGTAATGGCAGCTTCTGCAACAAAGGAGCCTTTCCAGAGGAACGTCTCTGGTGCCATCAGTGCACAGGGAATCAGCCGGACTGTGAGAAAATCTCACGAGGATCCAATGCTATTCCATGTCCACTGCAGCCCAACGAACCGGCAGAACAGGCGGAGGCCTGTCTGGAATACTACGATACACACAAGCAGCTGGTTGTGCGGGGCTGTCGCTCCAATCCTCAGATGTACTACGAGTGTCTGCTGCAAAGTGGCCGCCAAGACGGTTGCCGTCTGTGCCACAGTCCAGCGTGCAATTCGAGCCCCGGGAAAGACCTACGTGCCGACTCCGAACTGGACATCAGAGCCCTTGATCTCGTCTTGGCCAAGAATTCGTCGTATTCTGCAACTCCAACGTCAGTGGTATGTGTAATTTGGTCATTGTTTAGCATAATTTATATTGTAACTGCACGAAACTGAACTAATAAAAGAGCTGGCAGCGTTTCCATTCCATGCTGCGGCGGCTCCTATTGGACCTTTTCGGATGGCGTGTAGCCCGGATTCAAAGCACGTCCGCGGTGATTAAACGAGTAGAATGATGGGAAGTTGCCCAATGTATCCCAAGTCTTTTGCTGCATGTCCACAGTGGCACGAATCTCCTTGAAGTGGCCCACAACCTCAATGATGTTGTACACAACCACCACCAGACTGATGACGGTCTGCAGAATAATCTGAAAGGGATGATGATGGATTAGGTAAAGTGGAGACTGCAATGTGGCGGGTATCCCTTACATCCAATGGCAAACTATTCCATTCCTGCTCTGTAAGGCGCAAGTACGTGCGATCTGCGGATTTTTAATTTGGGTTAGTTTTCATTTCTGGTCCAAAGTTCCCCGTAACAGCGGTGAAAATACTTACGGTGTGCTGCCGAGAAGGCGGCGTGGGCTAAGCTGGCGAAGCCAGCAATCAATAAAAGCTTGTTAAAAAAGGTGCTTCCCATTTTTGGATTCACAAAAATTCAATTTACAAAAAATTTTCTGTAAATTTGCTGGTAATTTGACAATGCGGGCACATTTAGGCAAACATGTAGCATGTACATCACATTTTTTCTTGGGTCTAATGGTATTTTTCAGGTTACGGTCACATTGAAAATACCTAAAAAACCTAATTTCATTAACAAACCAACAAAAAGGGTTCTTTAATTTAACCACTCTTGTAGAAAATTGATTCATCAATCGGATAAAATTACATGTTTAGTGCTGAGAGTCCTAGTTAGCTGGTAAAATTAGACCGAATATCAAAATTGAGGAATCTGATTTTCATCGAGATTTTTCAGTTTACGGTTACACTAAAAATATTAATGTATTTTGGTATTTTTTAAATTTCCGTTTACATCATTTTTTTTTGCATTGCTTTGCTACCTCTTTCGCGTTTTGCTTTGCTGCCTCATTCGCGTTTCAAATTTCGTTTGGTTCGGACGTTCGCGCGCATTTTCTTGAGATACAAAAAAGCTCTAATCAGACAACCACAGAACCTGCTATCAAAACTTGTATCCCGGCTTTTTGCGCGAAAAAATATCCTAAAATTCCAATCAAACCAATTTGCCGATTCACGAAACTCCTTTTTCAACCACGCCCCCGCCTATCGGTGTGTGCTTTTTGTGTGTGTATCCTGCCATCTCCTTTTGCCAGTGTGTATTTGTCCCCAGAGGGTGTGTCCCCCGTCGCCGCCGCCCACGCCTTCCAGTCTGAAGGAAAATAAATTCCAGCACAAAACAAAACAACAGAAAAAACTGACAAAAATGTCCGTCTCCTCGAATGCTTCGTCGGCCTCGCGCAATGGCAGTGTGGATGATAGCATCACTACCACCACCACGACCACGACCAATACGGACAGCTCCGAGCTGACGCACATCCTGAACCGCCGGCAGGAGATCATGGATTCGCAGGAGGCCGGCATTGATGTGCCACGCACCTTCAAGGTGGTCAATGTCTACACCGAATTCCACGAGTTTTCGCGCAAGCAAATCAAGGACTATCAAAAGACCTTCAATACGTAAGTAAATAGACACGACACCGACACGGTCAAGGCCGTAAGCACATCGTATGAAGGGGGGCTTTGTTTTCCTTTTACTGGAATGATTTGCATTGCCTTGAGATGCTTTTCAGTAGCTGCAGTGCCTCGAGTAGCTGCAGCACCCGGCGATGCTGTTTTCCCATGTCCATCAATCCAGAAGAAAACTCAAAACTCATGCGCCTAATGGGCGAATAAATTGCATTTACCAACAGACGGAGGAGAAGCTGATCTGCTGGGCTGCTGGGTGCAATGGGGCATGACTCACACCACGACGACGACGACAACGTCGACTGTCACAGTCGCTTGATTATTCAGTTTGGGTTTCAATTCGAGTCGCCTGGCGTATCCATGACTCAAGACTGATTTTTCAGCCCCCCAAACCTTGCAGATTGCACTATGTGGATACTACACATATACATATGTGGATCTCGTTACCCCGACGACAATGTCAGGCCTCGGGCACTGGCACTGACACCAACAGCTTCTCTCCAAAATGAGGGTCTCTGCTGTGGTTTTCCTAGTCTTGTGGCAGATACCCCAAGATCTGATTACAACGTTTTGCACCCGTCAGTGTCCAGTGTGAAGTGTCTAATCAACCGCAGAATGATTGCGCAATCTGTCTTTTTGTAATCTTTAGAATTTTTTCATTATTTAAATTTTGCTGTGGAATAGAACGGCACGTAGGAGAGAGGTCGGTCGGTCTACGATGATAAGACCAGACTATCTCAAAAGCTCATCCATTTATCTGTTTTTCAACTGAAATATGCTCAGAGCCAGAACCTGTCTCTCAGTAGCTGATTCAACATTTTTTCCCCACTTCCACCTGAGGCTGAATCACCCGTACTGCTAACTGGCAATTATCATCGCTGAATTGATTTCAGATGCCTGTTTTGCACTTTCTTTAAGTCATATGTATTTTAGATGTATTATTTATATACATAGCTTCCAGATAAATTGCCAGCTGGTGGTACCCTTCTGTGAATCAGCACCGCATTTGGGTCACTCCACACCCTCCAGCTCCAGTTGCAGTCATGGTGTCTGCATTGGCAAATTGTCAAAGAGTAGTAAAAACAGTCCCCGTAGCAATCTCTGACTCTGTGCTACATTATGCCACTGCCCCGTACGTGCCCCGCAATTGTAATGCCCCACAGTCACAGCCACAGACAGCGCACAGAAACAGAAACAGACAACTCCAATCCGTCTGCCAAAGCCACTGAGAACGGGCTCCAAGCAGCAACAGTTTTTTATTTTTTTGTATTTTGGTCTGGGGATTAGCTAATGTCATGTATAAGGCGAATGGAATTGGGCATGGCCAAAAACGAGCTCTAAAATTGGTTAGATAATTGCCTTTTTTGCTGTTTTCCTTTTTTTGTGGAAAAAAAAAAACATTTTTTGGTACAGGAATGATAATAGGTGAATGTTGCATTCCATTTATTAATATTTGGACATATTAATGGAAGGTTCTTTAACTTTTCAGAGGAGTAGCCGTTGAAAAACTATCAAAAGGTGACCAAAGTCCACTCAACGCGACTGAATACTTAAAGATCTCTAAAGAATCAAAAGAAATCAGAAAGATCAGATGAATCCTTAAGACGAAATAACGTAGAACTACCTAAGAAAACCTAATGTCTGGAAGCCACAGCTCGAAAAGATATATGTTCTTATCAGTCTGATTTAAAATTTAAAATGTTTGGGCAAAATTATGACTCTATGACTCTGAAAAGAAGATGTACTTTCTCAGAAAAACATTTTATTAGGAAGAAAATTCTTCTAGAATGAGTCATGGGGGGCAGCTGAATTCACTTCAAGTTCCTAGTAAGAGAACTTAAGCTGATAAATTACATATTATAAGCCCAGGAGGTTGTACTTTCAACTCTATGTGTACATCTTTAAATACGCAGTACATGATGTGAACTGATATAAACATTATTTTAATCTTAATTTACACATCAACTAGTTAATAAAACTTCGAGTTAATTCAATCCGAAGTCGAGTTCTACTGCCACTGAGAAATGTCAACCCATTCGAACCCCCCTTCCAGCGCTCTTAAAGCTTCTTCGTTTTTGTTTTTATTTAGATATCCATAAACCGGCTAACAAAGCGTCTGTTTTGTGGTCTGTGACTGGCTTTTGGCATTTCCAGTCACGTTGGTTGGGGTCGTCGTCGTCGTCGTACCTTTTGATGCAGGGCGAGGGGGTTGGGGGTATGGATGTGCTAAACTTGCAAATTTAAAGCGCACCTAAAACCTGAACGAATTTAATTAAAATATGCCATCAATTCAGTGAAATGAAAGCAAAACACTGAGGACTGAGTCACGCCTTCAATTTGCTGTTCAAAACAAATTTTGCAACTGATTCAGAATGAGGAAAGGCAATAATATTCCTGGAATCACCACAGAATTCGGATAAACAATCGAATAAAAATGTAAACAATGACAACGTCATAGAATCTTCTCTTTAAGTTTTGGGGCAAAGTCGTGCGATAAAAAAAAGACGGAACCCAACCCCAAAAATTGTGTGTAATGGAGGGGGTATGGTATATGGGGGTATATCGTTCCCGCGCTCTGGTTCCATTTTTATCATCGCATAAACCACACACGCAATGTGTAAAGCATTTCCCTCTGAATGAAATGATTTCCTGATTGTTTTTCTTTTATTTATAATACGCCATTTTCCGACAACTTTTCTGCTGAAATTTATATGGATCTTGGGCGAGGCAGAGACTTCCGCAAGGCGATAAACAGCAGAAATATACAGAATACGAGTACGATTAAGAGTACGAGTACGAGTAGAACGAGTGTTTGTGTATCGATTATGCATTTAATGGCGCCTTCGTTTCCCCATTTTCCCGGGGGAGTACAGTATGGTACGCCTGTCTGTCTGAGCGTCTGAGTGTCTGGTTCTTTGCTGATAAGCCCTGCCAATTCCTGACTAAACTTTGGCTGAAAACCACCACCCAACGAGGCTGATGATGATGATGTCCAGTAGTGTACATTTAATTCAATTTTTGCATACATACTATATGGAATATAATGGCAGCATGTAAGTGGGGAAAAAAGCTTCTTTGTGCCCCTCCGCCGCTGCTTTTGTGGGTGTCTATGTCGTCGCTCTGGTTACAATTTCAGTTCACGGACACGCACTTTACAATACAAATGGGGGGTGGCTTTTGTGGTAAAGAGAACTTTTAATTAAGTTGAATGTTGGCTTTGCTTTGCTGTAGCCATTGCCATTGCCACCACCACCACCACCACCACTACCCTATCACCCTATTAATGCAAGTATCACTGAGGCATGGCATAACCCCTTACTTACTCACTTAGTTCCCTCCTGTGTTACGCAAATTACATACTCATATGTTGCATAGGGGGTTGTTCCATTGTTGCACATTTCAGGACAATTGCAGCAAGTAGGTTCTTGAAAATGTGTTCAGATACATACATATGTGCCTCTTAGCATTCATGTGCACATACAGTGGAGGCTCTGTGAGCGGACAGATTTACAAATTCACATACTTCTGTGTGTTCAATCTATGTAGATTTCTATAAATGCAATAGAATGGCAGACATTGATTTGCTGAACAAATTTCCCAAAAGCGATTGGATACATTATTTGTGAATGAAAGTAAAGAAAGCTTTTGCGAATTTTATATAAGGAAATATTTCTTTTTACTATAGATTTACTTTCTTTGAAAAGCATGTCTTACGAATCCCTTTGGAATAGACATTTCCCTAAATAGTAGAACACTATTCTTAGATCTTATCCTCCTTTAAACGATCCATAATCCATCCACTGCAATCGTATAAGATTCGGCTCATTCACCTGTGAACATCCATCCAAAGTTTATATTTAAATATTTATAAACCCAATTGGCTCTCATAATCTGCTGTAAAACCATGAATGTCCTCGCCAAAATAGCTTTCATTGTACTTCTTCGTGCATTTTGTACGCGTATGCGTACACACCCAAAAGTGAGCAGCAAATCTGCTCCTCCTCTGAGGTTCATTGACATTCCGATTTGTTGTTTGCATAAGTTTTGATGTGCAGCCACAGCACAGCCTTTGTCCGCATCGCCAGAGCCATAGCCATAGCCATAGCCATAGCCATAGAGCCAGCCACATCTGCATTATCTGACATCTGACTGTGTCGATGCAGATATGCAGGTTTCTGGCCAATCGATAACAATGCATTATCGTTTCCACTACTCGCTTCCGGGGGCACACAGCCACTGTCACTGACACTGCCACTGCCACAGCCTCCGCTTGTAATTATTTCCGCACACATGTGCGGGACGCGAAGCGACCTTTTTTGAATTTGGCCAAAAATTGCAGATTGTGCCACGAGTTTTGAGTGGCGCTGGGGAGTCAGGCAGGCAACGCGTTGCGGCGACCAGCAGTCTGGTTTGTTCACACAGAAAACTGCAAAGTAAATGAATTGAATACTGAATGGATTAGGAAGCATTGGGCACACCAAGGTGTGTATGCTCTGGCAGGTGGTATGCTCTGTTGTAAATAACAAGTTTAGTGAGAGATTCAGACGAATATCTTCACTTTTCCTATAGCAGATATTAAATATCATACAAATATCACATTGCACTCAATTACAATCATACGGAAGACTGCAATCATGGCTATCTGCTCAAGATCCCCTTTGTAACGATCTTGAATTCCACTAAGGGATTCCTTTTTTCAGGAACACACACCATACAATATATTCTCGTATAAGGTTCCAATACCATCCCTCTTTCTGGGCTCTACAAACATCAAAGCAACATCATTATAACCCCTAAAAGGGTACAATAAAATACACTACTCAGTAGTTGAACCAATGGGCAAATGACAATAGCTTCTCTTCCTTCCTTCCCCATGTCCATGTCCACTCCATCGATGCCTCATTGTGCGCATTGTGATTACATTTTACGCGCACTTTGCGGTGGATGACAGTGACATCCCAGCAGTCCAACAGTCCAGCAGCTGCCAGTGTAGTTGTAGTTGTTACGAGTGTTGTCCACTCAATTGAGGAAATATCAAATTATGTACACACTCGTATGCAGCACGAACGACAAACGACGATCATCATTCATTGTGGCCCCAACTTGTTGCAATTAGTCATTGCATTTACATTCACTCAGTCACTCAGTCACTCATTCACTCTTTTGTTCAGCTGTTTGATTTGGCTCTCAGCTCTGATGATGCCGATAAGAACGGCTCTACGATGAGTAAATGCTGCTGGTGCTGCTTCTTGCTTCCTGCAGCAAATACTCGTACTAAAAATAAGCAGGCAACCGACCCACGCAACGCCTTTTACCCCTCCCCCATTCCCATTTGCAGCCGTTGTTTGCTCCAATTTCGAAATGTCAAAATATGCAGAGTTTATTTTCGGACTACAGTCCAATACAGTAATGGGAAGATTGTGGAGTGCAGGGCTTACAATCATCAAGCATCTTTGGGGGTCTCTAAAGGGAATGGAACAACCAGAACTAAGGGATAGCTATGGGTATACCTCATACCTCATAAAGTATATGTTATCAGAGTTTTATCGAAATATTCGGTATGATGTCGAAAATAACAAGACGCACCAAAGTTCTTTACTTCATTGAAAGATTAAACACACGGGGATCTTCCACATTATCCTACTGGCCAGTACAAAATATCCATCTCTAGCTCTCAAAAACAATAAAAGAGAACTCCCTTTGAAAGAGTAGAAGTATTCGAAATCATCAAAGAACTACCAAAAATAGACAGACGACCGCAATCTGCCAGCTCTAGAACCAGCAAAACAATCAATGTTTTCCTATTGATTAGCAATTTTACATCTTTTACAAGCATAAATATACGAGCAGTAGATACAGGTGTACAGTGTACAGGTGTATATATTGTGTAGGCCATGTGCACAGGTGCATGTTTGGTGGTTTCGAAATGAGGGAAAAACATTCAGTGAGACGATCCAAAAAACCTCCAGTCGAGTCGAGTCTGTTCGTGATGAGCGAAATAAACAAGAAATTGTGTATGCAAGAGACATCACATCATAGAGCTTTCATACATAGCAGGTACCAGTGCCAGTGCGAGTACTCCTTCTTTTTGAGGTTACAATAATACAATAGATAAAAGACAAGACCCCTCCCTGCCTTTCATATGATGAAACCTGGCGTGCTGTGCATTTCAAAGACTTACAAAACCGATAAACCCCCGTTACAATAAAGTTCAAGAACATGACGCGTTTTCTAACTGCAACAAAACCATAAAAATGAAGCGAATATCGTCGTATTGTATGCGAGTATCCATCCATGTGATGTGTCTGTCTCTGTCTCCCCCTCTCCCTCTCCCTCTTCCTCTCTCCCTTTGGCATTAACCTGCTTCGACCATCAAAAGCCTGGGCAAAAAGCGAGACCAAACCAATTACAGTGGAACTTCTGTAACACTAACGAAAGTCCATTAGAAATTAGCATTTGAATGGTGTGAATTTTTGGGTTGGAATTCTTAGAGAACTATGGAATCTGTTGCAATTCGCACACATTTTCGTTTACATCAATCAAGATTTGAGGTAGAAAATATGAAATTTTAATAATTTTGGAGAAGAATGAAATGCTAAAATACAAGTCAATTTGGATGACCTTTCAGGCTTAAATAACAATTGAATTTGCAAAGTTCTTTCAATCAATCTTTTTTATTAAATTTGATCGAAAGATAGACCTTTGAAAAGCAGAGGTAGATACATATCTCTGGTTTGTGTGTGTAGAAATTATAGTTAGGGAAGTTCGAAAAAGGGAAACAAAATCTTAAGACCCTAAAATATCACTTTAACAGACCATCTTTTAAAGTACTTGGCTGTACAGGCCTTCAGAGATCTTTGATATTAATTAATATATTCAGCAAAGTGCTTACAATATTTATTGGAAAAAGGTCTGTGTAACCCAGCGATCTTTAATTTATAGGAACTTCCTTTTAGAGAAGTAAGACTGTACCTTAAAGCATACTTCATTCACTGGTGGACTTGGACAATAGCGAGGCATTAAGTTGCTAATAGAGAAGAGCCTATGCGAGTATGCTCAATAATTGCAACTTGTGGCAGCAGCAGAGCCCCAGAAGGCGGCGCATATATGTATGTACCGCCGAGTACTCGAACACTTACGAGCACTCGCGAGTATGTAGCAAAAAAACACATGGATACATAGATAAAATTTACGATGCAAATTGCGGCAATGCATAAACAACAACGAACGAGAAACAACACTAACAATGGCCGGCTGACCCCGTTATTTGTTGAACTGTACACGAAATAGCTATAAAGATAAAGAAAAATGAAAATCGCATGCCCTGCCACAACATGCAATGAGGCATAAAGATTGTTTAGGCCCGTCAACACCCCCAGAGAAGCACACACACACACACACCCGCAGGAGGAAGTGTGAAGTTTCGATCCGATTCGATTCATTGGAATGAAAACAATCGATAAAAATTAGGCTAAATGGGGAAACATTGGATGGGAGGATGTGAGGATGAGTGTTACCACACATCGACCACAGCAGGTGCCAAGGCGGAAGAGTGGTACAGTGCCACACACCCGCAGAGAGACTCCCTCCTAGTATATTGGGCGCTAAATAGATAAATCACGATCTTTCATTGAATTAATTGCATTTAAAAAGCAGGAATTGACAGAAAGCGGAGAGACAGCGTTGCCAGCAGTAACAATAAGACGACAACACACTCACAGCATTGCCAGTTGTCACATTGACGCAATCCAACAAAAGCTATTAAAGAAAACACAGAGAAAGAGAGCTGGTGGCATGGGAGAGTGCTTCAATTGAAGTTAATTGAAGGCAGGGCAGGTGTAGTCAAGGCTATTATAAGTTACGGCATAGAACCCTAAAAAATGTCACTACAGAACCTCAGAAATAGGAAAGGTGTTTTGGGTGTCCAACAGCAATCGCAAGAAGGGGCTTTGTGGTCGAATCATCCACAAAACAAGTCGCATATTCTCCCTATAGGTCATTATCATTTATCATTTACCGTGGGGTTCAATGCCCACACACACACAATTTTTGGCAAAGTCAAAAGTTCAAACGTTTGCTTCCGTTCAACTTCCGACAGTATACGAGTATGTGGGCAGGAAATTGTGGATAAAAATGTAAATAAAAACCCATTTACCCATCTAATTGTGTAATATATTAAAAGAGAAAACACCAGATCGCGTGAGGAGTCGAGTCTTGCGGCAGATGAGCAGCAGGGAATATCAGTGGCCAAAGCAACAGCCAACAATGGTGGCGGAAACAAGTTGCACAGGCTTCACTCGACCTTGCCGCCGACAACTGAAGGATGTCGATGGCGATGATGGCGATGATGACGATGATGATTGCAACAACTAGAAACGAGTCAAACTAGTTGGGAACGAAACCTGGAGCTCTCTAGCTAAAAATACTACAAACTGAAACTAAAATGCAAGTGGCCCCACACAAGGCCAGACCAGACCAGATTTCAGCCAAGGAAGCCCGCTCCACGCTCTCCACTCTCCGCTCGTCTGGGCAACACTCCGCGAATGAGCATTACACAAATCGTTAGGCAATCGTTAGATACTGCCACTTCCACTGTCGCTCAACTTTCAGTTTCAATTTCAATTAGAAGCCACGTAATGCCGGGTGCCACAGAAGAGAAATAATTGTACAAAAAGAAAGAAAAACTATTAATAAAGTTTCGCTTTCGTTCGGAAAGCTCATAATTGTATTATGGGGGGATCTTCATAAATAATAAATAATTGTAAGAGTACGAGTACGAGTGCGAGTGCGAGTACGAGTATCTGTATCGACAAATTGCGTGATTGTGCAAGGCATTAAGGAGAGGACTGAGATGAAAGATAGTGAAAGTAATTAAAAGAGATGGTTGGATGGATGGATGGATGGATGGGGGGGAATCATCTCTCAAGCGTGATGATGGAAAGGTGTCACTCGTGTATTTTAACCGCAGTCAAAGATGGCCAATTAATTTGTGGCTGTCTGCCGCAGTGTTACGCCGTCTTCTCGCTGTCTTTAATTAACTTCAATTGCACTCTCCCATGGCATCGCCATCTATCTCTCTTTCGCTTGGGTTCGCCTTAATAATATCTGTTGGATTGCGTCAATGTGACAATTGCTGGAGTTTTTGCATTTTCTGTTGGCACTGCTGTTTGGTCGTGAGGTGTTTTGTTATTTTGCTTTCGTTTGAATTACGTTTCCCCGCTTTCCAGCTGTTTAAATGCAATTAATTTAACATAGGCCTGTGTTTATTGAATTATATTTGATCAATTTAGCAGCCAATACAGAGGAGAAGGTGTTTCTATCTCTCTCTCTGTGGGTGTGGGTGTGGGAATGTACCACACTCTATACTCTATCTTGGCATGTGGCAACTGTGTCTTTAGCAGGGCCCTGAATTTTTTTCTTCGTCTATAATTAGCAGATAATTGTTTACTAAATAAAGATGATTCGGACTAGTTAATGTATGTACTCGCAACGGAAACTGTCCCTTATTCGAGATGTAACATTCCATACAAAAGCCTTGCTCTTTTTCCAACAGAACAGCTTTTGTAGGCGTCATGAGAGCCCTTGTTAATTTTATGCTCTTTGCTTTTTATGCAGGGCTTAAATTGTTGGGAAATTTAGCCTGAAATTGGGTTGTCTGCCCACCCGTAACCACCTCTGACCTCTGACTCTTGACGCCTGTGCCTGCTGCACCCACGATTGCATTATCGATTGGTTATACCCCCACACACGCCCATAGCATTGAGGGGTCTCTTGTGGCTCGTGTCTCGTGTCTGGTGTCTGTGGGTCAATGACATCTCTCTTCTAACGTTCTATCTTTATTCATTGTTGACTAATTGATTTGCGTTTCTGCTCTGTTCTGCTCTTTCCTTTGCAGCTACGACACGGCTCGCGATGGTTTCTTGGACCTAAATGAGCTCAAGTTCATGATGGAGAAACTGGGTGCACCGCAAACCCATTTGGGCCTCAAGAAAATGATCGCCGAGGTGGATGAGGACAACGACGGGAAGATCTCGTTCCGTGAGTTCCTGCTGATCTATCGCAAGGCCCAGGCCGGCGAGCTGGACAGCGAATCGGGTCTGAATCAGTTGGCCCGTCTCACCGAAATCGATGTGGACCAGGTGGGCGTCAGTGGAGCCAAGAACTTCTTCGAGGCAAAGATCGAACAGCAGCTAAGGACGAACAAGTTCCATGACGAGATCCGGCAGGAGCAGGAGGATCGACGCCGCGAGGAGGAGGAGCGTTTACAGCGCCGGCAGCAGTTCCAGCAGCGGGCGGCGATCTTCCAATAAAGACCCTGTCCCCTTTTGTAGTCTAGCGCGTAATGCTTTTTGGGCGTAGGTTAAACAAAATGTGGAACTAATCTTAGGAGGAGCAGGCAGGCAGGCAGAAGCAGGCATTTTTCAAGCATCAAGCACATCACATACGAGTACTACTGTAATCCAATATCCCATATCCATATTAATCGTCCATATATATACATACATGCATACATACTACATAAAACATACCTACTACATAGATAAACGATCCATACCAAATGCCTAAGTTATACACTATAATTAGTTACTCGATTTAAGTGGGGAATAAATTTTAGTTTTTTTCGTTTCATCCTGTTTTTATGTTCTTTGAATTTTTCTGCTTTGTTTTATGTTTAGTTTTTATTTTCACAAAATTTGTTTCTTTTTATTGCAATTTGTAATTGTAGTGCCATTTTTTATTTGTGTTTTCTTTTTTAGTTTTGTTTTTAATAAAAGTGAGGAAAATCGAATAGATTTATGTTGATAAGCAAAAACCTTAAACCATCTTATCGCCAACCTTCTTTGTATATATAGAAAACCTTTGTTGAATATTGAATTTGGTTTCAAATCGGAATATATGCAATTTAAGTTTGAATTTCAGTATTTTCATATGTTAAATTAAGCCATCAAAAGCAATACTAACGCATTAAATATGAATATTGAATACAAAATACATACTTTTAGTGAGCGCAAAACTTATAACGCAAACTGAATAAATTGATAAATAAATGTATATAATACAAATAATATGTTTTAACTACTGATTTCTTTTATAATTATTCATATTCTATTGAGATTCAGTCGCCTATTTGAAGGATTGGCAGCATACTCCATAATCGTAAATCTTTATAGCCCTAGGCCACCAGAGCCCCCCATAACGCCAAGAGCTGCATGCCAATGAGAACTCTTCATAGCCTTTGAGGGTGAGGCCACTAAGCAGGCACCCCATGGAGCTCCATGGGGCTCAGTGCTGACATATAGAAGCAATACATTAGGCTCGCAAAAGAGCACAACGTTTCAGCTTTATTCTGTGGAAAGATTTCCCTTTCGATTCGTGGCTCACTCTCCTGCCCCGCCACGATGCTGGGAGTGTCTGCATCTCAGCATATCGCACTTGAGGGCATAGCAATGCCTACACACTGGACACTCGTGTGGCTTGAGCTGTAGGTGGTAGCCCTTGATGTGCTGCGAAAGGCCGTTCCGTCGCTTAAAGACACGCTGACAGATGCCACACTTGTGCTGTCGCTCCGTCGTGTGGGTGATGTGATGCTGTCTTAGACCACTGAGCGATCCGAACGACTTCTTGCACACGCTGCAGGCGTAGGTGGTGGTCACAGTTGGTGTTTGCGATTGCGATTGCGATTGAACGGCAACAACTCTCCGCGCCTTCGTCTGAACCTTTGCCTTGGACGGGGAATGGCGTGGTCGGCACTTGAGCTCGTGCCGGCGATAGAGTCGCCAATGAGTGAAGGTAATGGCCTGGCAGTGACGGCACTTGAAACTCTGCAGACGCCGCGTACTCCTCAGCGACAGGGACTGACAAATGTAGCGCATATGTTGCCGTAAACCCAGACGCGAGCTGAACAGCTTCAGGCAGCCGCAGCATCTGGCGGCAAAGGGACGATTCAGCTTGGCAAAGTGCGTTTTCAGTTGCCGATGGCGTAGCAGTCGATTTAGGCTGGCAAATCCTCTTCCGCAATGTTCACAGCGATGCCGGTTCGGATTCTGTTTCGTAGTATGCTTCAGTATCCTACACTTCCGCTGCAGACGACGATATTGGAAGGCCAGCTTGGCCAGATTGGCCGTGACCACTGCCAGTTGGGGGTCTGCGGCAGGATTCACTGCCACTGGCGCCGCTGACGCCGCCGCTGTTAGCTGTGCTGCCGTCGGTAGGATATCGTTGTGATGCAGAAAGCTGCGCTGCATGTCCAGTATGTCGATCTTTTTCTTCGCCGGCAGCTGAGTGGGCAGCGGACTGGCGGCGGCGGCGACTGCTGCTGGGGTGTTCTGCCAGTCCGGTTGCCAGTACTCATTCGGTTGTGTTGCTGGCAGGCCCACAGAGCAGCCGCTAGCCTCCAGTTTGAGCTGGTTCGTTGGAATGCTGGGCAGGCTGATGTTCAAGGGTGGCACACTCACCATCGGTGTGGGTGTACTGTGGGCGTGGGTGTAATGCTGGCTTAGACCATCCACCGTAATGAACTTGGCCGTGCAGAGGCTGCAGTTGTGCAGACGAAAGGCGGCCGAGGACTGCACCACGCTGTCGTTGAGCACCACAATGTTGGGCTTGGGCGGAACAGCTGGGGGCGGCAGCAGTTCGCACAGCATTTGATTTGGTATCTGGCTGACATTGGTCACAATGGGCTTGCAGGAGCGGGGCTCTGGAGCTGATGTGGGCGGCGGGGGCAGCAGCAGCGGTGGCGGTTCGGCAGATTCAACGCCTTCCACTTTCTCCGTTTTGTACTGATGCGGCGGCAGCACCCAATCCTCCTTGGCATAATTGTGCTCTTCGTTGAGGAGCTCGGATTGAAGCATCTCATTAGCCGTGGGCAGATCCCCTGAAGTGCGGGGCTGCTTCGCCTGGCACTGCCCGACATCCGCATCATCTGGTATGTTGATAAACGGATCATCTAGATTAATAATCTCCATGATATCACAGTTATTTATTATGTCCTGGGCATTTAGCATGGGAAAATCGCAGAATTGGAACTTCTGTTCAGTTTCATCGTTGGTGCCGGGCTCATGGTCGCACCCATCATCCAAGGCCATATCTAGTTCGTCGGGGAATAGATTGTCCAGGCTCTCGCAGGCCTCCTGCTTCACCCGCACCAGTGGTTCCTGTTTAATCTTCAACTGACGTCGATATTTCCGCTGCAGTTCGCTTTGAGTCTGCAGAACCACATCGATGAATTGCGAGAAGCGTTCCAGCTTCTTGTAGCACTCCGAGCAAATATCCTTGGGCAGCGTATCATCCTGCAGGATTTGTAGAGTTGGAAAACACTTCTGAATCATGCCAAAGAGCTCGAAACTATTGTCAAACGAAACGCAGTCCATAGCAGAGGAACCACAGAAGCGACAGGTGCCCTTTGTACCACTGACTGGAGCTTCGGCGGCACTGGACAGCGTCTGTTTACTAGCACACTCTTGCCATCGGCTGTTGGTCACCTGTTCCACAACCACATTCAATGATTCCGATTCCGTCAAACGCACTGATGGCACTGCATTCTTTTTCAGAGTTTTCCGGTTATGGCTGCAACTGAAATCTGTATCCACGAAGTGGCGGCTGCAGACAGCACTCCACCGGGATGGCATCCATTGGGGACTACGTTGCGTAAATTCCTTCCACTTCTGGAACAAATCCTTTCGCTTGAAGGGGAATCTGTAAGTGCAATCATCAGAAGTTGTTTTACAATTTTGAATGCGAGCCACCCACTTGTGGAATGATATACTAGTAGCGTGCGCATATTTATCGTTGCAATTTACCACCGCGCAATATGCGGGCATGTCTTGGAAGGCAATCTATAAGCTTCAATTGGCAATATTTTATATACTTTGTTTTGTTTGTTTTGTTTTTTTTGCCAAAAATTCCGTGCATCAGCTGTTTCTATTTTGCCATTCGCAGGGAAATGCAGTACGGGTAGTGTTGTAAGGCGACCACTACCCTAACGGGTTTATCCATGACCGGAACGTTAATACCCTTTCAGATCGATCGTTGCTATGGTATATATATAATATTTATCTGATCTGGATGTGATATGGTTCAGATTGATATCAAGGCATGAAATTACAGCATAAAGCTTTTTTTGTACACTAAAAATCCTGTGCAATCCACTTATGTAACATTGTATTGAAAAAATAGATGCTTTAAAAACTGGGAAATTGTTTTAATGTTGGCGAAGATCCGCTCTTTGCATTGCAATCATTTCCTCAAACTCACTATACTCTCAGCAAGGGTACAAACAGCTGATAGTAACACATGTTATCCCCGCCACCCAACCCACCCATTCCCTCATCCAAAAACACTTATCAATTAACGCTTTTATGACGATTCCCCGTGTAGATCGTCTAGGCTGCGGCCCCAAATTTTCAGACGACAATACCACATACGAATTCTCGCCCCACGGAATTCTTTCACTGCTCTGCGCTTTAGTCTCTCTGTTCGTGCGGTGGCGGTTAGTACATATGTATGTACTCTTTTGGGCAAGGTCAGACAAGGTCTTTGACATAGAAAAACGTACATTTTACGCCGGATTCGATTGCGAGAAGAAAGTGAACAGGAACAATGGCACAAGTGCGACAACTGTTACAAGTGGGTGGCCCACTTTTAGGACGTGGTCTGGCCAATGCCGGTGGTGCATCGACGGCCACCGCAGCGAAAAAGAACCACAAACGGTGGCAGAGCTCCTCGATTAGTGCTGGGTAAGAAAATCATAGATAAGTTCCATTTTTATGGCGCGTGTGCGGTAATAATACTGCCCTCTCCAACCCCACCCAATAGAGATTACGATCTGGTTGTGGTCGGCGGCGGTATTGTGGGAGCGGCTTCTGCCAGAGAGATTCTTCTGCGGCATCCCTCGCTGAAGGTGGCCATTCTGGAGAAGGAGCCCAAGCTGGCCTTCCATCAGAGTGGACACAACTCGGGAGTCATTCATGCCGGCATCTACTATAAGCCAGGCACTCTGAAGGCGCGTCTCTGTGTGGAGGGACTGCATTTGGCATACAAGTATTTGGATGACCACAAGATTCCGTACAAAAAAAGCGGCAAACTGATAGTGGCCACTGATGAGAAGGAAGTCAAGCTTCTGGAGGATCTTCAGCAGCGTGGCATTGCCAACAAAGTGCCCGATCTTAAGATGATAGAGGGGGATGCCATCCGGGAGATTGAGCCTTTCTGCAAGGGCATCAAGGCTCTCCACAGTCCACACACTGGTATCGTGGACTGGGCTTTGGTCACGGAGCACTATGGCGAGGACTTTAAGCATGCAGGGGGTCGGATTTATCTGGACTACAATGTGACAAGGTTCAGCGAAACAAAAGAAGGAAGCGCCGACTATCCAGTGACCATCCATGGATCGAGGCCGGGTCAAATAGTGCGCACCAAGAATGTTCTCACCTGCGGTGGCCTTCAGTCCGATTTGCTGGCTGAGAAGACTGGCTGCCCCAAGGATCCTCGCATTGTGCCCTTCCGCGGAGAATACCTGCTGCTGTCCAAGGAGAAACAGCACATGGTAAAGGGTAACATCTACCCGGTGCCAGATCCACGATTCCCCTTCCTGGGCGTGCACTTTACTCCGCGAATGGATGGCTCCATTTGGCTGGGACCCAACGCTGTGTTGGCTCTGAAGCGGGAGGGTTACACGTGAGTGGGAGTCCGCTCCGAACAATATTATTCTGATTCTAATTCCTTCTCGTTTATAGCTGGGGCGACATCAACCTCTTTGAGCTGTTCGATGCCCTGCGCTATCCCGGCTTCATGAAGATGGCCAGCAAATACATTGGCTTTGGCCTCAGCGAGATGTCCAAATCGGCCTTCATCAATCTGCAGATCAAGGCCTTGCAAAAGTACATCCCCGACATCACCGAATACGACATCCAACGTGGTCCGGCGGGTGTGCGTGCCCAGGCCATGGATCTGCAGGGTAATCTGGTCGACGATTTTGTCTTTGATCGGGGCGTAGGATCGGGTGCTTTGGCCAAGCGCGTCTTGCATTGCCGTAATGCTCCATCGCCGGGTGCCACCAGCAGTTTGGCCATAGCCAAAATGATTGCTGATAAGATTGAGGGGGAATTTTCTATTGGCAAGTGAGACGATGATGATAAGAAATATGTTTGTTAATTTGATCTTAAGCATTGCTCTTGCATTTAAAAGTTATTTTATTTTATAAAACCTTTAATTCAGTTCCAAAATATGAGGGTTTCTCCTTGCTGGAGGCTTATCCTTGATACCCATCACCTTTATTTCTTTGTGCAAGGATTGCGCTTCTAGACAGGTCTGGATTAGCTTCCGGCACTTTTCATTCAAGATCTTTAGACCATTGGCCGCATGCAGACGCATGGCTGGGTCACACGATTCCTCCGATTCGATGGCTCTCAGAAGACGATAAATGGGTAGCAGCATTTCCTGGTAGGCAATGAGATTATCCATGCCATTCAGGAGTTCAGCTAAAACAAAGACAGCAGCCCGCTTGGCGGGCAGATATCCTCCTGTGGCACTCAGTTCGCTGTTGATCAGATCCAGCAGCTCCTGGAAAAAGTTCTGCACCTGGTAGGCCAGTAGGCGACAAAGCTGGGCGAGATTTGCAAAGGCGGACGTGCGAAACTCGTGGAGAGACGACCGCGAGCCATGCATAAAGCAATTGAGGAGCACACCCTTGTACCGATAGCATAGGGGACCTGTAAAATCCAATCTTTAAGAAATCCTCCCATCAAAAGCGGCATCCATCACTTACCCAGCTCCTGCGAGGCCTTCAGGATAGCCTCTCCCACCACCAGACGATAGTCCAGATCGGCCGTCTCCGACAGATACTCGTCACTCAATTTGTCCAGTACTTCGGATTCCATCACATGAACCAGGGCCACAAAGAGTCGCACACAATTCAGGAATGTATAGGACTCCTTGTCCTTGAGTGTGCTGAGGGCCAGGGCTATGATTAGATGACCCTGGGCCATCGTAGCGGGGTCCTTCCGCTGCAGGAGGTCCAACAACATTTGTATGCCATAGACCTGCAGATGTGATTCCTTCTCCTCGATGAGGGAACGCGCTTTCTGAAATGGCTGCAATTTGAGGGCTTCACTTGGCCGCCACTCGCCATGTAATATATTGAGCAGGGATTCCACTGATTTCTTGATCAAGCGATTGACTGACAGAGCTCCTAGCTTGCCGAGTTGCTCCTGCAGCTCTCTTGTGCTCTCTGTCAGCTGCAAATCCTCACTGCGTTCTAACAGCTCCTGCAGAAGGTTGAGAATAAGAAGTAGGGTCTGATCAGTGGCCTCCTCTTCTGCGGTCAATCGCTGCTGCAGTAAATCCTTGAGCAGCCGCAGGAATTCTTTGGTTTGCATCGCCAACTGTGCTCGCAACGGCTGATGGGACACCAATTGATTGAGAGCTATCAGCAGATCTAGTTTTAATTGGTAGTTGTGCTTTAGGAAGGCCACGAGTTCCGTTTCCGTGTATAGGAAATCCACTCCTGATGTGGATTTCTCCTTCAATTGGCAGCCTATGAAACCCAAAAGTGCCAGGAATACGTTGCAGGTGAGAGCATGATGCGAACTGGACATCAATAGACTGGGCAGTATCCGGGCCATGTCATGGTCTATCTGGTGATCCGCAGGGGCTACTTTTACCTGAACTCGATCCGATTCTGTTGAGGGCAGGATTAATATGCGATGGTGAAGGCATTGCCAGATAGGTTCCTCTTCGAGCTGCCACGTGAACAAACGTTGGACTATTGCAGGCAGCTCCTTATCTCTATCCCGATTGTCCAAGCAGCGGGATATGATAACAGCCAACTGCTCCCTGGCAGGCACCTCCCTGGGAAGGCCATCGTACAGCTGGAGCAGAAGAGGTAGAAAGCGTGTGAGCAAATTACTCGGCAGACATGCCACGCTGGAGCTGCAGAAAAGATGTTGCCAGAGCTGGATACGATTGCATAGCTCCTCATGGTTCATCAGGAACAGACCACTTATCAGATCTTTCGGATCACTGAGCACCTGCCAATGGGAGGACAGGTACTTCTCAATCGTCTGCTGGTTTTGTGCACCCAACTCATAGAGTCTTCGCAGGGACAGGACACCCACACACATTCTGTTGGCATCCATCAGAGATAATTTACAATAGTCCAGGACCTGAAGCATCATTTCATACTGTGCCGCCTGCGAGCAGTCATTCCTAGCCACGATACTCGCAACGATCTCTGCAGTTCTCGTGGCACTCACATTCGGTGTCTGCTGCAGAGCATCCACGAAGCCGGCATAACCCTGCGGTGCGTGTAGCTTTCCCAGCAGCTGCTGGTGCAGGGCCTTGGCCAAGGGGGGACACAGTGGAGTGGCCTTCAGTAAGAGCAGATGCCGAAAAAAATCCGATTTGGATTCATGTCGCCAGAGGTAGGCGAGGGCTGCCTCCAGCTGCGGACGATTAATTTGGATGCGTAGACTCATGATGGCTGCCAGAAGATCCCGCTGCACTAGCTCCATGGAATTGGCTATGTGAAATTGACGTATGGGAACCAGTCGGACGAAGAACTGAACGCTGAGGAGTAGCAGCGAGGGATTGCATTTGACTTTGCCCTGTGCCTCTTTGAAAATGGGTGATTTAAGGAAATCCTCATGCAACTGGCAGCGGAGTGCGTAGTAGGACAGCTCCTGGGTGGCTTGGATGCACAGCTTAAGGTGTGCCACCGATATAAGGTCCTCCTTGGCATCGCTATCAAAGTTAATGTTCGAGAAGAGCATCTGGAGCGCATGCTGCAGACGGATAACGTAGCATATGGCGGGATCTGAACAATCTATGAGCGCCTCCTCTTCGGGGGTCAGCTGGAATAATGTGCATAGCTTATGCAGCTGTTTCACAACGTTTTGTTTGGCATATTTCCCCAAAATGTTCAAATTCTGAACAATCGAGGAATCGGAAACCGACTGAATTCCATTTGTCGTATTTGCTGTGATGAAAACACCAATTAGTTAAATTGTTTACACCTAAACACGCTAATTTTTACCTAGAGCCTGTTCGAACTTTAAACTCTCCAGCAGGGAAAAGTATTTTGCCGTGTTAATCATTGTAGTATCTGAATCGTAATTGTCATGCAATGTTATTGTTATCGGCCAGAGATGTCCACAAAGAGCATCGACGTCCACTATCGTTACCGCAGTGCAACCCTGTCTGCAACGAAATCCTAATATAAAAGTTTTTCAAAGGCTCAAAACTCTACTGCTGTTTGCACTCCTTGTCCACGCCGTTATTGGTTGGGAGTGGTCAACAAAATTATGATCCCCACCATAGAGGGCACCGCCGAAGGTCCTCTTACCACACGAATGTACAAATAATGGAATGCCATAGCAGACACGTTGCTTCCACTTCCAGCACTTTCCACTTCGGTGTCGGTAGAAATATCTGTAAATATATAGTTATTAATTATAATTTGCCGAAGCTGCAGACCATATGACCAAACATACCATATGAGGGATATGATACTCATCTATCATTATGAAAAAAAATTCATGCTGGAAATATGTCAAGTGCGACACAAAGCTAATCTTTCCCTCTAACATTGCCGGCCGCAGTAGCAACGTTAGATGTTAACTTCCTCCTCCCACGCTTTGCCGGCACAGGAGCCTGCGCTGACTGGTTGTTGGTACTTGTTGGAGATGCCGCAGCTGGAGGCCTAGACACTCCATCTGGTATACCCAGCGGTCGTTGCTGCTTGTGGTAGCTGTGCTCCAGAGTGACTACATAGCCATTGTCTCCGAATGCTAAAATAAGGAAAAGAAACCAAGATAAATATCCTTGCTCCTTGCAAAGAACTGCATTAAATACACACTTGTTGCTGATGATGTTGAGCTTGTCGGGGGGTACCAAATGGCAATTGGCAGCGGCCACTTGGCCAGCGGCTGCTGTTCAATATTGCGCTTCACCGTGGCCGTCTGCTGCTGTGCTGTTCCACTGGCCTGTACCGTGGCCGTATCCATATCACTATCCATTCACTTGCAATTCGAGCACTTGCACTTTAGATCGGATCGAAATTGTTTTGAAATTTTTGCGTGCGCCACTGCTGAAATTTGAAATTTAATTTGGTATTGCAGCCCTAGTCACGTTACGACACGACACGCACCGCACCTATCGACTGTTCTAAAAACAGACGCGATAGAACCACCTCCACACTACGTAACGTACTATAGTATTATAAATTAATATTAATCAATTAATATAATTAAAATAATTACGTTTATTCAAGCATTTAATTTATTAATATAAATATATTTTATATAAATATTCTTTCGATACTATTGAATCGATTCTGCCAACAATTCTGCAGCCCTAGGCAAAAGATCCGTTATGTTTTGGCGTCGCCGCGCGCAGAAAAAATGCAGAAAAAAAATGGTGTCAAATCAAATGTATACGGGATCCTGCTGCAAAGCGCCACTGCTGGCGAGCGCTTGCTGATAAAGCAATGCAAGCAGGAGATGATCTCCCACTCTCACTCAGATGACCTCTCACTCAGGAGCGCCCAAGAGAGAAACGGACGCTCACTTCTCTTGTAGTGAAATATTTTATAAAGAACATTAAAATGACGTCAGAAGACAGCAGACTCTTGGCGCGAAACATGAAGAGAGTCTTTCCGCTGGAGTCTGAAAATTGGGCGAAGAAACTACAGTGGGTAACTTTAATATTCGGCATTTTTTTTTTCAACTTCAAACGCGAATAAAATGCATTAAACTACAAAAAAATAAAAAATATGGTATGGGGATTCATTGTAAATGTATTTAAAACTCTCAGGTGTGGGTGGAGCCGGACTCCACCATGGATGAGAGAGCAGTCTCACCCCACCCCCTCCCATGGACAGAAATCTTGTTCTTCCACGTTTTAAAATTTACAGAAAATATATGTACATATGATGGAGTTGGGTGGTGATATTGATATTGAGATGGGACTTGGCTCGATAGTATCATGATAGTCACCAAAACATCGATACTATCGATAGTCCCCTCGATGGTTTGACTGTGAAAAAACAACTTTCTTTTTCCTCTCTGCTGTGTGTGTGTGAATATATGTGAATGCAAAAATATAGAGTGCGCAAAATAAATTAATTAGAAACACCAGTACGACTCAAACGTTAATTAATTGGCTAGCGGCTGTGACGCGGCGCGTTTCTACACGCCTCCCAATAATTGCCAAAAAAGAAAAGAAACGG